AGGCCGTGCGCGCCGAAGGCGCCGAGGCCGACGGCGGACGCCCCGTACAGGCAGGCCAGCGTCCAGAACATGGCGCTGCGCTTGCGGTTGCTGGCGGACGGTTGGTGGATGGTCAGGAGGGGCGTGTTCTCGTTGGGCATGATGGGGGCGAGATGATGATGGAATGGAATGGAATGTCGTCGGCTGAGATGGTGGGGGCGCGGTTAATATAGGTAATCCGTAGGGCTGGCTGGGCTGGGGCGGAGCCGAAGTGGCGGGTCTGCATGATTAGGTAAGTGCATTAGCTCCCGTTGCTTGGTGGGGGTCACTGGTTTGATAATCGTGACGGTTCGGGATGGCGTCACTTTCGTAGCACAGCTCAATCAGAGTTGGGCTGTGATCTTTAATTGCGTATGAATAATTGTATACCTTGCTATCTCATAGTTTTTATGACTTTCTAGTTATGTATGGGTGTATGCGGACTTTCATCACCCGTCCCATTCCACTCGAAAGGTCGCGTCCTGCTATCATAACTCGTCAAATTCTTCCATCTGCTGCCTCGTGTATTGGACCGGCACTGTTGATTGCTGAGGCAGCTTCTTGTACATATGTAATTAAACGGAGCATATCAGCATTCGTTTCGAACTAAACGCCCATACCCGTGTCTCTAGTCTCGAAGAACACGTCACTTTCAATCCCATGCCCGTTTCGACCTTCGCCATAGATGCTGTAGAAATGAGAAGTTGTTGGGATTTCTGCTGGAGAAGAGTCTAAAAAAACCACCAAAAAGATACTGTTACGTACAACACCAGGGATTCGCTGGTCGTCACCGACCCAACTACTGATCCGGCGGTATCCAGCTTGTCAAGGGGAGAGCGGACGGGATCCCGAATTTTCTGGATCCTATGGTCGTACGTGGGATATTTGCTCATTATTGTTGAATATATGGTCTGCTTCAATGCCGCCTCTCGAATATGGGTCCCGATAATGATATGGATCCCATCAGCCCCAATAACCACCGGCCCGGTCTCGGCTGTGTCATCTGCCAGATGGACTTGGACGCCGTCATCTATGGTTTCTATATTTGTTACCCTAACTCCTGTTCTGATGGCTTCCTTGCGGATGGCTAGACTTTCATAGAGAATTTCGAGTAGATCGCACCACTGAAGTGGTGAAACGGGTAGCCATGGCTCCAGATGTGTTAGTCGATCGTCGCTGACATTCCTCGCGGTTTATGTATTTCGGGGTAGGTGATAACGAACCTGTCTTCCAATTTCTGCCATATGGGATAATGATTGATCATGCGTCCGTCACTAACAGGTTTATGGTGTTGGTCGGATAGACTATATTTCTAAAATAAAACAGCAATATATATGGTGTGTAACACGACAGAAAAGGGGACACAACCTCTCCCCTTGCTTTATGAGGGAGGGCATAGCTATGGCTGTCTTCTTCCCTTATCGGCTAGCCTCTTAAAGAAAACGTACTTTTCCTATATTCCTTATTGTCACCCCCTTTGCCCTTTAGGCACTGCACATCTACATGTAAGATTGGGATTTAGCCTACGTACATCCGATTGTGTGAGCTCACCATATACCTATTCGTAGGCTACAAAGGTGGTTTGATTCGGGTTTCCCCCTATCTTGAACCCCTGATTCTAGAGCTGCGTTATAACGTGCGGAACTTCATCCATGATTATAGAATCATGCAATCTAGATTACCTAGGTAGGTATAAGATGCCTGATTAGTGGCTTCCAAACCAGATATTTCATTGGCGATTGAAGACAATATTAACAGAGATACTTGGTTGTCTGGATTCAAATATAATCATTTACATTCAGCCAGGAGCACCTTAGCTTCACCATCATTCAGTGTATCAGGGTGCTAAAAATATCCTCTTACGCGTTGGCAACGCGTAAACGATTGTTCGATAAAGTTAAAAAAACGCGTGACTCCGTACCTTAGGTAGATACCTAAGGGAATAAGGAAGGTTTTGCAATAATTGTTTGCAGTAATTGTAAGATTTCACTATACTGTGTGGATCTGCGTACCTTAGGTCACAAGATATCCTGAATACCTCAGGTAAACCTCAAATCCCAAATCTACCTATAAAAGGTCGCGCACCGCCATTATTCTATTCCGTCTACTCACCGTTCACCAAGTCAATGAGAACACTTTCTAAGAATCACACAACCATTCCTTGCTTGGTTAAACTAATCCGAACCTCTCTTCGCCTCACCAACTCTTCGCCAACTCTTCACCAATTCTTCGTCAACTCCTCAGCGGCAGTCCATAGTCAGGACTTCGACACAAACATCTTCGTCTCGTCGTCTCATCGTCTCGCTTACGTCTTCGCGCTTGAAGTCGCATAAGACCTCCAAGATGAATTTATTCTACCTTCCCGTGGAGCTCGTGGACAAAATATCCGAGTTCATCGTCCTATCGCGTAAACCCGACCGCGTAATGCGAATCCGGCTTGTGAACCGTAAGACACCACCTTACTGAATGTGAAGCATACCTAACTAACTCATTATCCATAGGTCGATTCAAATACCATATCGATCTCGCCATCTTTCGCCTCCGCTTTTTCACCGGCATCGGCTCCCTTCCGCTGGCTATAGAGCAACGACACAATCACAAAGCCTGGCTTTCGTATCTCCACTCCTATCTGGCCTACCAAGCGCCAAGAGAACGGTCTACCTCATCGCTGCTTGGTCGAATTTACCATATCGCGCAAGCTCTCTGTGAGCAGGATGGCGACACGGGAGACAAGGCTATTTCGACATGTCTCGACGACCTCATTCGCGTTCAGCATATTGAGCATTCGGAACGGCTATTCCACGAACCCACCAACGAGCTTCAGAAGGATTCAGAGTCGGATTTCAACGCGGACGTATGTGTTGCAGCTGTTTGCCTCGGCCGGAAAGCCCACGTCGAGCGCCTGATCGCCGAGGGAACCCGGTTTCACTCGGTATATAGCGGAGTTTTCGGCCACGCCTTTGAGGCAGCATTGAGCCAGGGGAACCTCGACATGGTCCAACTTCTCATTTCATGCACCCCCGAGTACAGCCATGAAGGCACCCTTTCTGACTCCTGCCAAGGCCAAATTATTTGCTTCGCCAGCAAGTATGGTCACCCGGCTCTGTTCAACTTCGGACTTGACCAACGCCCGTTTGGCCTACCGGAAATCGAGGATGAAGGCATGGGAGAGACGAGGGAATACCAGGCGATAGACTGGTACCTCGCATTGTGCCATCCGCCATCGCCGGAGATTTTCGAGCGAGTTGTCCCATTGTTAGGGCCTTTTGGTGATAAGCTAGACTCTTGGCTACCCCAAGGTGTGTTCTCTGGCAACGTGGAATTGGTTCGCCATCTTCTAAGAGGGAGCACCAAGCCAGTCCGTCTCGGATACTGCAAGACTCCATCTCTGACGAGTGTTATCTCGCGCCACGACGAAACGATGGCAAGGGTTCTTCTCGATGCTGGTGCAAACCCAAACTCGACTGAGTCGACTCAACTGCGGTCGACGGCGCTTGTGGAGGCGGTATGGCATGGCAGGGTGGCCTTCGTTAAGCTGTTACTGGATCGCGGCGCGGACATCAACAACGGGTGCCCGCCTCCTATCGTCCTAGCAGTGTTCAAAGAGCACCTGGATATGTTCCGACTACTAAGAGAGCATGGCGCTAGGCTCGACACGCCAGAGACAGGCAACTTGGCCATGGCGTTAGCTAAGTCGCACGGGCTCGACTCCATGGTCGATCTTCTAAAGCACGAAGGCGTGAGTGAAGACGAAGTCTTGCATGTCGCCTTCGACCACGAGATCTGGTATAAGCGCTTATGGCCAGTACCAAGACATTATTGACTTCTACCGAACGCACTGGGGGGCAGGTTTAGGTTGCAAAGGAAGAAAAACACCTAGCTTGGCGTTCCTATAGGAGCTGTTGGCAATGTCTAACCCTTTGTACATATACCAAAAGCAGACGTCGTTATTCCATAGCTCCCTCCTTAGTCCAGTCTTAACAACTCTTCGGATAAGGGCAGAGCTTTTATAGTAACTTAGGTACCTAATCTTATAATAAATCCTTGATTTTCTCACGTGAAAATGATATACCGGATCCACTTGAAAGTATTGAGATATAATGAGTAAAAATATTATAATACGACGTGCCTTTCCGATGTCTACTACCAATCGCCTGGAAACCATTACAGTCGAGTTGCGGCCACCACAGAAAATGTGGCATATGTATGGTATGAATCATGCATTGCCCAATGATACGCCCGGGCTTGCTGGGTTTAGCAGTGGAGGGTGTCATCCTCGCCGTGACCCTGGCGGGACTGGCATTCGTGCTCTGGCGCAATAAGTTATTAACGAAGAAAGCGAGGCAGCAGCAGCAGCAACAAATGCAGCAGTATCACTGGCAGCAGCCCCCTTCATCTCGCGGCGGCACGCTCTCTGAGGTAGGGCCGTACGGTTACGGAAGCCCGGTCGACACGGAGCCGGCCAAGATGAGCGAGCTCCACTCGGCGGGCTTGGCGTACACGGAGCTGCCCGGAGAGCCCATCGGGCACCGAGCTGTCGTCCGATCCAAGAACACCGAGGAATCCCAACAGCCCGAGCAGTCCATTCGGCCAGTCATGATATTCTCAGAATATACAGGCAGTTATTACATTCGTGGCACGTTTGATAGCGTCAGAACTGAGTTGCATTCGAATCGGTAAATTTAAGGGGCCGTGCTGCTGACGGACAATTTGCTCATATTCAATTTAATGTTACTCTTACAGCTATATGTAGAATTAATATCCCAATGTCTCATAGTCTAGGTTTGGTAAAGACTACCTAAGGCGTGTTGGGCAGGTAAAACGTCTTCCACCTGCCCGGCATAGCAACGTCGATGCGAACAGAAGAGTACCTCGCGCCGACGTTGTCCCGGTATCCCGGAGCAACAACTCCCCCAAAAGGTACCTTCCCCTACGAAGGGTTATGTACCATAATTAGTGCCTCCAAATTTAACAAGACAAAAGCTGCGGTGGTCTAGTGGTATGACGCTGGAAGAGCAATCTGAAATGCTTCATTCACTAGATCCCCTAAACGCGGATGCCGGGCACCATAACAAAATGTGGATGCTAGCCACAGCGGGGGGCTTTAGTGGATGTTGAGGATTGCTTCAACAGAGACGCCAGTTCGAATCTGGCTCGCGGCAATTTATTTTTTTAATCCTTTTTTTTTTCCTTCGCCATTCCTTTCCCACCCTTGTCTCAATGACGTAGGTGTCTGATTATTGCAAGCAGTTAGAGTCTCTAAACGAGGCCATATTTCAATAAGCAATGCATCGTGCAAATCATGGTCTACAGTCTTTCTGACGGTGCGTATGTTACGCTCCTTTTCACTCATAAGCCAGCCGCTGAGCCATAGCCCACATGTATTCTACTTCTTTAATGCCTACCTAATCAATACCAAAATACTAACCAGAGTATTCTAATAAGTAGGTACTTAATTCAATAATTTATTATTTCCCATGCTGCAAATCCCCATGTGTTGTGTAACCCCAATCCGCTCACCCCCTTTATTGAGAGCATCGTATTACGTAAGCGCATAGGATCATCAGAGTCACACGCAGGCCCCCATGAAGCCTACGATTCGAATTAATTTCGGTACGTATGCTTAATCTCGATATCAGAATCATTCAAGATATCATATACATATAACAATTTATTATATGACAATATCAGGAATGTACTAGAGAACGCTCAAACAACTTGTCACTTAAACTTCTTAGAGTTAGGTAATAAACTGAAGTTTCTTTTAATTCGCATCTTCGTAGGAGGTGATTATACTGTATTAATCTTTCCCTCGTGAAAACTAATCTCTAGAATTACGGACGTTCTATAGTCGAGCTCACAATAACACCCTCCACGTCCCCGATTCCAGGGGCGTGGCCTCTACGGCTGTTCTCCCTCTTCTGGTCCCGCTTGTGCATGAACGCGACGGTAGCCGTGATTGCAGCTTGTGCGCCGAACGCGGCCGTCGAGAAAATGAAGCCCTTCCGAAACATCGGAGAGTCGACTTGCGGATAGGTGAGCAGAGGGACCCAAGCGTTGAACGCGTACCCCATGGAATTCATGATGCCGATGACGATGGCCCGCTCCTCGGCGTCCGCGCCGCAGATCTCGTTCGTCCAGCTCATGCTCAGGGGCCCGTAGGGTATGGATGCGCGTTGCAGTAGGAATGCGAACCATTTCAGGCCGTCCGGGATGTTCCAGATGGCCAGCACCAGAGCGGCAAACGCACCGAGAAAGGTCGAGATGGACATGATGCTGGCGCGGCGGCGGATTGCGTCGGATACGATGGCGAATGAAACGGTGAGGACAAGTTGGATGGCCGAAGACGCTGTAGGGATAATATTCTGATGGGACATCAGTTTTAGTTTCTAAGGCAATTGATAGGGGTGTGGTTTCAACTCACTATTCGTTCAACTGACTCTCCCTTGGATTTAAGCCATAATGAAAAGGGGTTGATACTCGACGACGGTCCGATATTGATGAAGATTATATACAAGATCGTGAGAAGGTAAACATGCCATCGACCTATGTTCCCTGTCAATATTACAGTAGGTGGACATTAGATATATCTTACCAAATATGCGCTTAATCGCGGAGCGCCCTAGTCTGGCGCGAGGTGCACGGCCGGCCTTTTCCATACGTTCTTTGGCCATGTTGCGATCCTACAGTTTATTCATGAGTCAGGTAGTCTATATAAAATGCCAGTGGTGAATTTAGGAAACTTACCCTCTCGTTCAAGTAGAACGCCCTCGTGTTCTCAGGGAGATCCGGCAATATGAAGAATCCCGCGATGCAGATTGGGACGCTGATAATCCCATCTACGATCTATAACCAAGTATTAGCCAGACTCGCTGGGTTCAGAGAGAGGATTCCTGGACGTACAAATAGCCACTGCCACCCGGCAAATCCATTAACGCCGTTCAAGCCCTTGTACACACCCGCTTGGAGATAGCCCGAGAACATGCTGGCAGCGGCCGACGAAGCGTGGAATATACAAGCTCGCTTTCCCAGCTCGGAGGGCTTATACCAAGATCCCAGGATAGTGTGCGCTGCCGGATAGAAGATCGACTCGGCTAAGCCGACGAAGAATCGAATGGCGATGACGTGGTTGGACGTCTTAGCCGCAGCGAGGCAAAACGTCAGGACCGTCCATAGGAGCTCGCACGACGGGACCCAGACCGAAGGTCGCACTTTGGTTAAGATAATCTGCGACGGGATCTGCCCGATGACGTAGCCGACAGTCCAAGCCGTGTCGACGAGGTTGATTTGGTTGCCGTTCATCCCTAGGTCCTCCTTCATGCCGCTAACGAAGGCATTCGAGATATTCGTCTGGTCTAGGTTCTTGATGAAGTATCCGAGCGAGAGCATTGTGACTAGGAAAATGTCGAGCTTCTGAATGAAGACACGCTCCTCGTGGGATCGACCAGGTTCGTAATCCCATATATACGACCACCATGGCGCCTTGAGCTCCTTTTTCGATTCATCAATTGTGTGGTGAGAGGATGCTGTAGCATCGTATGAGGATTCGTTCACCACCACTTCTTTGGGTGTGGTAGCAAGTTGCTCCGACATCGTGATTTGTGAGGTAATCGAGCAGGGCTAATTGGCAATGCCGTTGAGCGGCAATGATGGGAATAAGGGAGAATGATGAGATCAGGGGATCTAACCAACATAGATTGAATTTATAGCAGTACGTAGTTTTTTCAGGATCGCGTTTAGTCCTGTATTGTAGGGGACAGAAGTATGGATTACCTACCACATCACGTAAAGTCCAATCTGATAATGACCGAATATCTCAGCTTCGCCATGACGGGGTCAGCTGGCGTGATACCTCAGAGATAACTTCTTATCTACCGGGTCTTTAATTGGTCGTGTTTTGATTCATAGGTTCAATTTCCGTGTTTAGGTCGATGTCATGATCGTTGTCTCCGATGGCGTAATTGGGGCCACAGGTAATCGTGCATAATTCGTGTGGGGGATCTTGCAACGGATACTTGAGCCCCTCAAAGTCGACCAGGCCATTTTGAGCCTCTAGTAAGGATGTATATATGCTCATTTTCCCGTTTGGCCATGCTAGCCATTATCCCGAACGGTAGAGGCGCCATTCTAGGTCGACGAAGGTCCAAATCCATGTCCCAACCAAGGGTTGCTGACCAGACTTCCACTTTCCCAGAAACAGCTTCAATGCTATAACAGAACAATGCTTTTCCATTTAGGGTCTAGAGAGTTCCAGGCATTCAAATCGATTTCACCTATCGTGACCCGACGGCTGATCCCGTTTTCTGTTTGCATTACCATGACGATAAGTGTCCATTTCCAGCTATCTGGATTATCCAGAGGCTCATCAACTGTTAACATTCCGCCCAGTACCGCGGCATCGTATAGCTTAGAGTAGTCAAAGCCTTCAGGAGTGTCGGTTAGTCTAGAAACTCCGACCATTCTACGCGGACCGTCCGCAGAGTACAGACGATGGTACTCATACTCGATTTTACCTGTCCGAGGCAGAATCAAAACCCGAGAAATGGTTGTACGAAACGCAAGTGCCCCTGGGTGGGCTACGGCTATCTGTGTGTCACCGGCCCCTAGAGAAAAGAAGCTCAGCGGTGTCCAGGGGTTTTGTTGATGGAGCAACCACATTGCTTTGATATCCAAGGCGTGATACCCCTTTCGGAGAGCCTTCCTGGCTTGCGCAAGGGCATACGAGAAGGGATACTCGTCACTTATTCTGGCGAAAATAATGCGATCGATCTCATCCACTGTGGAAGAGCTTCCCCGGTCCTGACCATCAGCTTGGTCAGTCCAGGCGTCCATCACCCACCCTTCACCTTTGGATAACGCTCTCAGCCTAAAACTTTCATCGGCGTAATGGAAAACCGTTAATAAACCAAGAAACTCGAATTGTGTGGGGTTGCCTCGCCATAATACTGCATTATCCCAAGCTGCCCAAGTCCAGCTCGGGAAGCCCAGTGCCAAGTTCAACTTCGGCTGCTCCAGATCGCGGACTTCCCACATGAGTGATTTCAGCCAGTTCCTCTCAGGTAGGCCAAGCGTAATCTGTGTACCAAGAAGTCTGGACGCAGCCCCGGAGATACCGGCTAAAGCGAACAGAACATTCGACTGAAAGGACAACTGCCTCTGAGAAAACTTCTCGATCAATCCATAAAGAAATCGAAGTTCAGTAATATCGCGAATAGAAGTAGCGGTCACGTCGCCTCCGCCGGGTCCATCTTCTCCAAATAGCTCGAAGATATGGCCCGTTTCAACGGCAAGGGCCTTGGCGCATTGGACCAGCACCCGAGTGCTAGTCATGAAGACGAGACGTCGCGAGAGAACCTGTTCTTGAAAAGTCCATCCGCGCCGAGACCAAGGCGATTCTTCAACGAGGTGCATTGGCCCTTCAGAGTCATTTTGGCGACGCTCTTCTCGGCTTATGGTAGATGCTTCCGTATGTAGGGTAGAGCGAGAAGTTTTGGGACGCGGTCGACCAACAGTGCCCCGGAGCCCGAAAGTCCCGTCATCAGCTCCGGCGGCAACAATTGTGAAGGACGCTAACTCATAGATCTGGTCCATAGCCTGGATCTGTGCCCCTCTAGATGTCGGGTCGTTCTGTAAAATGCACAGTCGATCAACCCATAAGTATTGCTCACCCAACGATGTACAGAGACGAACGGCATCTGCAACAACGTCTGGTAAATCAAGTAGTGATAAGGACCCTGCTTTGCTCAGCTCGTTCCAATTGTCCGTCCTAAGTTCGAGACATGCCGCTGCGGATGAGGGCTCTGAAGATGCAAGTGACCATACGTAACTCAGGGCAACATATTGACGAGCCTCTGGGGAATCAGTAACGCACATAGCCTTGGTATCAATGAGTCGGAAACCTAACGGCAACTTATGAGGTGTAATCGCTTGGGAACAGGCCGGTCCGTGATTCTTGTCGCAAAACTTCAGCCACGATCTTAAACTGCCAGTATCGAAATATTCGTAATCACGCTGGCTGGCAATCCCTCGAGGAGATAGATCTTCAAGCCGAAATGGCATCTGGTGGGCGAATATGGGCACAAAGAACTCTTCAAATTCAGCATTGGGGAGGTCTTTACCACGTAAAGTCTCTAGTTGTCGTCGAATACGATGAGCTCGCCAT